ACTCTATCTACACAATATACATAGACATAAAATGTAAAAACTAAAATATCTTGGAAACAGTAGCCAATCAGTTGTTTTAATTGTCATATTTGAATTCAGCACATCAAAATACATAATAAATAGCACATTTTATCTCTGAAGCAGATGACTTCTAAAAAATTATAGACCAGTGTAACATGTCCATTCCCATTCTGTCTTTTCCCTGTAATGGACAAATGCTTCCTGCAATCACCCTATGATCAAGCACTGAGCCAATTCCACTAACAGAATACCAAATTTGTAAAATTTAACAATCAGTTTGTACCCTTTTACAATTTCTGTCCACTTGTGTTCAGGAAACCACTTAAACCTACACTTTCCCCAGTTCATTATTAAATCCACAGACTGAGAGTACCTATGGCAAAAAAGGCTCCAACACTCGGCTATTGACACAATCTGAATTGAATTGATGCAGACTCTAATGTCAAGGTATAAATATACTTTTTTCCCTTGATAACAGAGTGGGATAAGACACTCAGACCCAGAACTCCTAACATAATCAGAGCTCCTCCAAGTTGCTCTAATTTACTATACCACCATTCAATACAGCTACACCGGGCACATTTAATGTAGCTGAAGCACATGCAGATAATTCATAATGGCAATTAGGTGAGAATACTGGTGGCTCACTTTGGTTTTGTTTAGAAATTAATCATTTAGGGTATGTCTACACTACAGCACTATTTCGAATTAACTTAATTCGAAATAGCTAATTCGAATTAAGCTAATTCTAAATAACGCATCTATACACAAAAACTATTTCGAAATAATGTTTTGCTATTTTGAAATAGCGTGTCCACACTAATAGTGGACCCTGAACCGAAGTTAAGGCTGGCCGGAACCAGTGCTGGCAGGGCATCAGGTTAGGACTTGAGTGTGTGGGGCTCCTACCTGAGGCTAGCTGAACTCCATGCTTAAAGGGACCCTACCCCCACCCCAGACAGACAGTTCTCAGAGTTCCCCACTTGCTTGTTTACCTAGATGAGGGACAGCAAAGCAGTCCTGTCTTGGAGTGCCCTGAATGCCCGAACTTGGGACACCACAGCACTCAGCCACATGGAACCAGAGCTGCCCCTGGGCATGCCCGTGCATCTCGTGGTGTCGTTGCCATCAGCCCAGCTGCACTTGCTGCAGGCTGCCATCCGGGGGGGTCCATCGGGGGGCTGTCAGGATCCAGGAGACCCTAAGCGAGAGCGTCCACCCCGAGGAGCCCTCAGAGCCTCCCCGGTCCTCCCCGTCAGGGGCTCATACCCCATTCCTCCCTCATGTCCTTCCACTTACCCCTCTGTAGTCCCTTTTCCTGATGTCAAATAAAAGACACGTATGTTCAAAAATAGAAACTGGGTTTATTGAACAAAACTGGGGAGGGGGGAGGATGAGTCTCTGGGGAGACTGAGAAAAGGAGGTGGGAGAGGGATAGAGAGAGGGTGGGAGAGGGGAGAGGGAAACCTGGGAGGAGGGAGCTGGAAGAGGGAAGCAAGGAGAAGAAGGGGGAGGAGAAGCTCAGGATTGGGGGGTCTTGCCGGACCAACCTTACTTTCATGCTAACCTGCTCCTGGGTTCGTATGTGGCCTTTAGTGGCCAGGCTGGCAGCTATCCTGCCATAGACAGCCACATTCCTCTGTTCAGTGCAGAGATCATGGACATTGGGGGCATCCCCCCCAAACCTGAATAAGGTCCATGGTCTCCACCCTGGACCAGGAAGGCACCTGCCTTCTCCAGCCCCTGTCAGGCTCCTGGGTGCTGGCAGACTGCTTCTGGGGAGTGATGGAGCATGAAATGCTTTTAAATATTTTTTGCAGATGAATCTATTGCTTTGGGTATTTTTAAAATTTGCCACTAATATAGGTTTGCATCAAAGGTTTACTTAGAATAAGTGTACTCCCAGAAAAATTGTGCTCAGTAGCTGTCAAGTTAAATAATTAAAAGAACATTTCAACTTATCTTACGTTTTTCTTTGCAAGTGGACAAATGAAGCACCTTACTTGGATTTTCTTTAACTTGTCAGCAAACAGATTATGGTACATAAAATGTCTAATACAGCTGCAATAAGAAGAAAGATTACTCCCTTCAAAAGAAAAGGATAAATGTGTATATTAGTTATGGAAAGGAGAAAAAAAACAAGCAAACGGAACGAAAGAAAGTTGAGTGCAAAAATATCCTCATTTTAAATTTAAATTTTGTAACAAAAATAATGGTAAAGATGACAAATAGAAAGTCACAAAACCAAGAGAGAGGTAAAAGAAAGCTCCACATTAAGTAAGTACACAGAGTAAACAACTCACAGTAAGAAGAAGCTTTTTGGTAAATATATCCTTATGACCATGTAATGCAATGACATATTCAATATTGTTCTCAGGTGTAATAACCTTGCTGAAATATCTTTATTTATATATGCCCCTTTTTTGCCACCAAATCCCCTTGCATTATGATCTTGTCGATCTTACGAGTTAGGTGCGTTGTCTATCTGGCAATTAAGTATACAGCAAGCTGGGGTGTAAATCTACAGTGCACAAACCTGTTGCATGCTAAATGGCTGTGGACTCTGCCACCACACACTAAAATTTTCACAGTCTCCTCTGACAAACCTACAGTCAAAGTATACTACAGAACTTTCAGCATGTGATACTAGAGTACATATGCAGACTGAGTGCATGACAGGCTGCTAGTGCACTGTAATTTACTACCCAGCTTGCTACACACTAAGGCTGTGTCTACATTGGCAAGATTTTGCACAAAAGCGGCCGCTTTTGTGCAAAATCTTGACGCCTGTCTACACTGGCCGTGAGTATTTGCGCAAGAACACTGACTTTGTAATGTACAAAATCAGTGCTTCTTGCACAAATACTCTGACACTCCCACTCACAGATAAGCACCCTTGCGCAAGTATTCTTGCGCAAGAGGCCAGTGTAGACAGGCAACGTTAATTTCTTGCGCAAGAAAGCCAGATGGCTAAAATGGCCATCGGAGTTTCTTGCGCAAGAGAGCCTCTACACTGGCACGGATGCTTTTGCGCAAAAGCACATCTTTTGCGCAAAAGCACATACCAATGTAGATGCTATCTTGCACAAATACTTTTAACAGAAAAACTTTTCCGTTAAAAGTATTTGCGCAAAATCATGCCAGTGTAGATGCAGCCCAAGTCTCCTTATGGACAAGCCTGCACCAGAATTCAAGCTAGTAAACATACTCAGTAAGACATTGTTCCTGTAGAAAGTAACGTAGGTGAAGCTCTACTCACTGAATCATGATGAAACTAATGCAATGTCTTGACTTGTTTGGCCTAACCAAAAGGAGGTGGAAGGGGGACATGATTGCTCTCTATAAATACATCAGGGATAAATTCCTGGGAGTTCTTTAAACAAAGCACCAATGTGAACACAGGAATAAATGGATATAAACTGGACATCAACAAATTTAGGCTAGAAATGAAATGAGGTAGAGTAATGACATTTTGGAACAGCCTTCTAAGGAGACTATTGGAGACAAAATAATGACCCGACTTCAAGACTTAGCTTGATACATTTATGGAGTGAACGGTATGTATGATGGGACTGCCTACAATAGCAAGTGGCCCATCAGCAACTGCCAACAGCAAAAACAACCCAACAGCTGGAGATGGGACACTAAATGGAGAGGACTCTGAGGCTGTGTCTAGACTACATGTGTCTGTCGTCAGAGGCATGTAGATTAGACACATAGGCAAAGGCAAATGAAGCCGCGATTTAAATGATCGCGGCTTCATTTAAATTTACATGGCTGCCGCACTGAGCCGACAAACAGCTCATCAGCTGTTTGTCCGCTTAGCGCGCTAGTCTGGACGCTCCCCTGCTGACATCAAAGCCCTTTGTCGGCAGCCCCGTTATTCCTCCTGGGATGAGGTTTACCGGGGCTTCCAACAAAGGGCTTTGATGTCGACAGGGGGAACGGCCAGACTAGCGCGCGAGCCGACAAACAGCTGATCAGCCATGTAAATTTAAATGAAGCCGTGATCATTTAAATCGCGGCTTCATTTGCCTTTGAGGGTACGTCTAAACTACATGGCTCCGTCGACGGAGCCATGTAGTTTAGACGTACCCTGAGTTACTGAAAATAATTCATTCCCAAGTGTTTGGCTGATGGACCTTGCCCACATGCTTTGGGCCTAACAGATTGCCATATTTGAGGCAGGAAATGAATTTTCCCCAGGTCCAATTGGCACGGCTCATGGGAAAGAAGGTAGCATGGGGGCAATGATCACTTGCAGTCTACACTAGCATAAACGGTCAATTCTTTGTAACATGAAGTCTTTAAAGGATGATTTAAAAACTACCTCAATAACTCAGCCAGGATGAGTGGATGAGGCTTTGTGGCCTGCGATGTGCAGCACATCAGACTAGATAACCTGATATTCCCCTCTGATCTTAACCTTGTCAAGGGGCACTGTATCCTCACATGCCATTTTTCATACAGAAATGAGATCCTTTGTAGATATTATAAGATTGTATGGTACTTTTATTAGAATAGGTGAGATACACTCTAATTCCTTAACTGGAATTTCATCTCAGGGAATATGCCTACCCCCAAATTTCCTCTGCAGAACAAACTGTATGTACTCTCTTCTTTAACTCCCACACTAAACTGTGCAGTGTTGCTCTGCACTACTAAACACAAGTGGTATTCCACCGAGATATGACTACCCATTTTTTTGGTTAAGGTTAGGGATGTCATTCTGGATTCCTAAAGCTGCCTGTATGCTTTTTGAGAGTCTAAGAGTTTGAATGTTTAAATATTAGAATAATTCTATGGCTTATGTCAAATGAAGCTTTTTACTGTAAATGTATATAATTTTCTGACCAATTTGAAGACAACATATTACTAAGGTACATTTTATATAAGTGCTGTGTTTTGGCAAACATGATCAGTGCCCATATAGTTGTCACCACCCCATTTTCAAATTGTATATCAGCTAAGTAACTTACTTGCATATGTCATCTTCTGGGTCTTCAAGCCCAAATCTTTCATCAAAAGTAAGCTGTATCCACACATTCTCTTCTACTGCTACTAATCTCCATACCAGTACAGTGTTGCGTGGGTAAGTGTGTGGGAACTTGGGACTGTGAATACTTCCATTAGTAGACACAGTAATAATCTTCTCATGCTGGGGATCTTGTACTCCTATAGTAGAGACACACACAAAACCATATATAGTTAAGGCTTTATTATTTTTCCACAACCGTTTGTTTTCTGCACAATCAAAGGGTTTGCTTGGTAGGTTGGTATGGGATTTTTTTTTTTTGGGGGGGGGGGGGCGAAGTGGAGGAGGCTGGCCAGGATTACTAGGCCCGGAAAGATTTATAAAAAACAAGATAGTAGACCACAAAAGAAAATACATATTTATTTTTTGGCTTCTAAGTAAAAGGCTCAGACCGAGATCCTCAGGTGTTTCAGAGGAAAACACAGAAACTCAGGAGATGAGACATCTGCAGCAGGTGCTCTTTTGATCCCAAGCAAGCTATGCGCCAGAACAATCCCCTGGCAAAAATGAAAACCGACAAAAGGACTTCTTGAACTGCACAAGTTGGCAATGCCCCCCTATAGGCCATTACAGCAACCAGGGGTCACTGAAATTTTAAAAAACAAATACAAAACAAAACAAAAACTGGTTATGCCTATCATATAAAAAGGATTGTGTTCGAGCAGATATATTGATTCCTCTCCTACAGAGAGATCATCCCTAAACTGGTGGTTTCCTCCTATGATTGATTAAGCTGGTTAAAGAGCTGCCCAAAACACAGGAAAGAATCTCAGCCATAGTTTTAGAAAGTTACTAAATGGGCGAAGCAAGGCTCTTAGAGATGGATATAGATACTATCTTTCACTAATGGCAAACCCACCTTGTAGGAGGGTCATTGCCTCAAATTCTCATCATAAAATACTGGAAACTAAAATGCTTGGCTTATGAAGAGACAAAATTTGAAGAAATGAAAGTCACCAATGATCTTTGCCCTTTAATGCACAAATCAATCAGACCCTGCTGCAAAGATTACTTACTTCAATTTGAGAACTAATTACTATAATGAATCATGGGAAGAAAAAAATCATTTCACTAGAGAGTGGTTATGTACAGACACAAACACACACTATTATAATATGTAGGCAAATCTTATTCCTCTAGGTCTGAAATATACATGAGTTCATATCCAATAGTTAGGCATCTAACAACTCTGTAACTGCAAACAGATGCTGACAAAACTGGACAGGTTTTTAATTTTATTGAATACAAAAACAGTCCCCCAACACCTCAGAAAAAGAAAGTTTTATTATCTATAGTAGTCTCAGTAGCCATGTTAGTCTGTAACTATAAAAATAGTAACATTTCCAGCCTCTGAATTAGCCTCTTTAGGGTGACAAAAATTACACACATAAGCAATAAGTATGCCATCCCTAATGTAATGATACTAATAATTATATTAACTAATTTGTTCATGTGGTTTTATATCATGCCATACTGTTTGTTTCTAGAGAAAAAAATATTTTACAATTTACTATTTATCCTATTATATTTTATTTTAATTTTAAAATGCTAATACATATTTTCAATTATGCATTTTACAGTAAAATGTTTACCCTTTGGTTTATAGTGAAGAAAATTACAATGTTATTGTAATCCTTCTTTTAGATCCACAGCTAATGGTTGATAGCTCAAATGAATGCATTCTAGAGCGAAGAGAGTACAGTAATAGCGTTAGAATGTCAAAGGAATTAATCTGTAATTGAATATAATTTAAAGTCTGAAGGACCAAAGTCTTTTAATTTGTGGTACAAGAACAGTAAATTCTCTTACAAGCTCAATTGCTACTCACATAAAACTGATAAAGAAAACTGTGGTTTTACAGCACCCCCATGCAATTTGAAGATGACTGTCAGTCTTGTGTAGTACTAAAATAGCACAACCCATAATAATAAAAAGTGTGAGGAATGTCCTAATTTAGACTCTTCATCTGCTTTTTGTTGGCTGAGTCACAGAGCACTTCTTCATTAAGGTATAAGCTGAGCTTTCCACACAACACTGCAGCCAACAGTAATAAAATGACATTACCTGAGATTATTATGAGAGTTCTATTTTCCAAGTATGTAATGGCTTACAATTTCATCTGTATCTCAAGCTTGCTGCTGTGGAATTCATGTCACTATATCAAGAACCACATTTTTGATACCATATTCACAGGTTCATGTTCGCTTTAAAATGTGCAGAATACTACCATTAATATAAAGTTTTACAATAAATGCGTACATCCCAAGAAAATTAAGATACCCTTCCTTCCTTTATATACTCAAGATTATCTTTTAAAGAATGCTACAAGTTAGGAGCAAAAAGTATCAGCTCAAAGATGATGGGAAATTCACCAAAAAGTGTCAAAAGAAAACCTATGGGGTAATTTAGTCAAGGGAAGTTTTGTCACCTCCATTTCCATAAGATCATAATCTCTTCACAATGTAAAAACATATTTGCTTTAGCATACAGCCTTGTTCTGTGAATGCATCAACTTCTCTTGCACATTACTTGCTCCATTTTAAATATTTGCTCTTGCACAGAAATTCTCTTTCGAGAGTAATATTTTATGTAACTTACAAAGACAAGTAAATTCCTATCACTGGAGAATAAAGCTTGCGATTTGTCTTTATATATAGTATAGTATTTTTTCTTTCATTGTACACAAATGCATGCCAGCCATACTCTGAAAAAAATAGCATCCTCCAGGAAGAATAATTGGCTGTTCATGTCAATTCATTTTTGAAACATCTTTTGAACAAACTGGGTGTGAAGAACAATGTCACAGGAATATGGATAAAAATACTTACTACCTTTCGTATCTAATTTGAGCCAAAAGTATTAAAGTCGCTTCACAGGGAGGACACATCATGTCCTAATTATTTTAAGGATAAATCAATCGAAGTCAGGATTGAAAAGGAACTGATCCAATTTAGTTGAGTTCACAGTTACCATCTGCATAACTTCCAAGTTATTTACATTAATTCTCTATTATGCTCCATCTGCTTTTCAATTAAAAATAAGAACAGCTTTGGACCATGTGGGTGGTAAGATTCAATGAACCTCTAACAACCATTTTAAGGAACAGCAGGACTGAAGCAGCAGAGGCCTTCTACTGTTTTAGTCAGAGGGAAACAACAGACAAAGTAGTTGACAACACATGTTCATTTGTGGGAGTGGGTGAAAAAATGTAAGAAAAAGGAAAACACATTGGTGGTTTCATAACAGCACAGACATAGCTGTAGATCAGTGGTAGCACAAAATGAGTAAGATCAAACAATGCTGCATAGAGAAAACTGAAATAATAAAGCCTAAGGGGTCAATGAAAATGTGGTGATCTCATTTTCACTGGTTATTATTAGGAAATAACACAAACTGTTAGCTGTATGGACATTGTAAAATCAAAATGGAGTCTGTACATGAAGGAACAATTCAAAATGGAACCCAAGTGACTTTGCCGCCAAAACACCACCTTTGCAGACAGCACGTAGCTATGCTCACGGCACCATCAACCTGCACACGGCACTGGATCTGCACAAGGCCCCAAAGTTTTGCACTGGTTACGTGTTGCCTTTTGCATTCTGGACCTTCCGTGTTTTCCCGCCTTGGGTTCTATATAATCTGGATTTGTGAGGAGATCGGGTCGGCAGTTTCCTGTTCCACCCTGGAGGAGAGTCATTCCATTTTCTGGAGACTGTGACAAAGGCCGGGACCAGTCCAGTGACAGACCAGACCTGTCACCACAATTCACCACTGCTGCCAACAGGGTGCTCCAGTCCACAGCTGTGGCAATTGCTCAGCATTGTGAACCCCAACTACCTGCTTCCCACACCATCGGGTCATGACACCACAGAGCCTTGTTCTCCATTTTGCTTGCTGTGGCGAAGGCCCTCTACAGCACCAGGAACTGCTCTGCTTGTGATCCATGAAAATTATACTAGTCAGTTACGAAAGCAGGGACTAAGCAAAGAACTGAACTGCTCCGCCATACCGTCGCTAACATACCAGAGTTCAGGACACCTCAGTGTTCCTCCCCTAAAGCTAACAGCAGCTAAAGGGCAGAAGGTCCTGAGCTTCAAAACCACCAGAACCTCTGACAGACTGTTTCATTTACCTATTCTATCTTCTACTATATCAGTAATTGGGGGGGTTGTTTTATTTGTTCAGTGTTTGTAATCCATGATTTTAATTTACCTGTTACCTGTTGTACTTTACAATATAGTCTTAAATTTGACATTCATGTCTGTGCTTCATTTCGGAGCTGAGAAATCTGCCGGTGATTAGATATGGTAGTTTCCAGGGCGGACCATCTTCAGGGACAAAGGCATTTAACATCATTCAAGATCAGGCCCATTAAATTTAGCTTACTAGTGCACCTTTGATAGTAACAAAACTATTCCACTCTGAGAAAGAGGCTAGCAACAGTTTCCTTTCATGTGACACCAGACACTAATCACCTAATCTAAATATATATCAAAGTAGACTGTCCATTATAGAAAATAATAGGATGCCAAACATTCTCGAAAGAACTAGCCTTCAAACTTATGCAACTTAATATCATTCAAACATACACAAATAAAATAAAAACTGAATTCTGTCATATCTAATTATAGTCAATATTTTAAAAGAAGTGCCATGATTCCCTGAGCCTTCGGAAACTTCAACTGGTCCAGAATGCGGCTCATCGAGTTTTAACAAATACTGGTTATACGGAGCACATTATGCCACTGCTCCAGCAGCAGCACTGGTTTCCAGTATATTTCCGGTTACAGTTTAAGGTCTTGGTTATGAACTTTAAAGCCCTAGATGGGTTGGGTCCAGGGTATCTGAAGGACCGTCTTTTCCCACATGGACCTGCCCGGGGAATCAAGTCAGCTGGGGAGGCTCTGCTTAGTGTTCCCCCACTTGTGGCGATAAGATTAACATCTACACCAAACAGGGCCTTCTCAGCTTTTGCTCCCAGGCTATGGAATTCTCTTCCTTGAGATATTTGCATGGTGCCAACATTAGCATTGCTTCGGCGTCAGGCTAAAGCCACTTTTTTTATGCATGCTTTTATTGGTGTTTGAGTCTGTATATGTGTGTTCCTTCTCTCAAGATGCTTTTAGCAGGTTTTAGTCCT